AGTGAAAAAACTGAAGTCGTTGAGCTGTTGAAACTAGTCAGAGTCATCACAGCATAAGTCATTAACATAAAACGAAAACAAAACCGAAACAGGACAGATAAATAAATGTTAGCTGTCCATCAGGATTAAAGCTACTATTATAAATGGTAAGCGGGCTAAACAAAATCTAACCTGTGTTTGCGAATCATCCCCAGTGACTATATTACCAACTGTGCGGAGGGCGGGAATCAGCACCGAAGGAGATGGGTGCCTGGAGAAAGACCCAAAACTTGTAACTAAAAGCACAAAAAAAAAAAAAAAAAAAAAAAAAAAAAACGTATCCATGTACAGATAACAGAACGAGGGTACATACATGAGAAGCTCAACCAATCGTGAACATACACCTGCCTCAATCACAGCTTGAATCTTCTCATTTGGTCCATCAGATAGGTAAGAAAGTGCCCAGCATGCATCTGTCAACACTTCTTCATCATTTGAATGAACAAGTCGTTCAAGGGCAGGAAGAGCTGGCTTCACCTATTCATGGATTTCATAGAATAGGGTTTCAACTTTAAGCCTTTTAAAAAGTGATAAAAATATATACAAGGGCACTGACCTGCTCAAAGGGAGGTTGTGGTTTTCCTCTACAAAAGTTCGACAGAGTCCATGTGGCATTTCTAAGCATGGACAACTTGGAATGCTCATTGAGTTGAGCAAGTAATGGAATCAATGCACCACTACTAAGAACCAAATCCCGGCATCTAGGAGAGTCACCAGCAACATTACCCAAAGCCCAAACTGCCTGCAAATTCCAATAATGTCAAGACCAAAGAAGCAAAGTAGCAACCCTTGGGCCCTTAACAATACATCAATTAAAAAAACAGAGAGAAATTTAATAATTACTGTCACACCTGCTCACGGACATCATCACTAGGAGAAGCAAGAAGCTTCACAAATATCGGAACAGCCCCATGATCAATCACCACCTTAGTGTTCTCTGAGGTCCCAGATGCAATGTTTGTAAGAGCCCATGCAGCCTCAAACTACACAACAAAATCCAAATATTCAGTAAAAGAGCAACCAGCTTGCCCAATGCCCATAATACTATAACTAGATATGAATAACAACAAATACAACAGGAATAAAGACCTGTAACTGTGGATAATCCTCCCTTTGAAGAAACTCCACAAAGCGGGGTACAACTCCAGCTTGTATAACTTCCTCAATCGGTGGGCTTCGTTCTACATTTATCAAAAGCCCAAGCAACAGTCACTAAACAATTACAGACTACTTATTTACAAGCAAAATTAAAAAAGATAGCACGCCAATACCAATGGAAAGCAATTTTCGGAACTGTGTTGTGGCCTCCAACTGCAATTGATTATTATCAGAACAAACCCCAGCCACCATATTTGGTAAACTCTCTAGCTGCAAAAACACAAGCAGCCAATTCAAGATTCAGAGAATAGGAACAAGAAAATTCATAGCAAGAGTTAGTACCAGGCACTGAATAAGAAAGGTTGTCTTTTGAAAGAAAAAAAAAAGAAGGTAATATACAGGTCAAGATGAAAGGGAGAGGACAGATTGAAACAACACACAAATGTGACTAGAACTCACACGTCAACAATTTAATTCTGAACAGAGACTAGTAAATTCCAAATATAAATTCACTACCACATTACTGCTCAAATGAGGGATGGAACAAAAAGCCAACAATTTCATCTTTAAGACTACCAAATCAACACTTGGTTCACATTGACAGATTTTTGTTTCTAATGATCGTCCTTAGCTATTTGAAATAAATTCAGAACAATTGAACTATTAGTCTAGGAAGATGCAACAAAATTTTAAACTATTCACATTTTGCATCTATTTTGAAAGCAATTTCGAGCACCATGATAATATCCACACAAGAATGTTTCACTAGTGACATTTTCTCCCAGTTAAACTTAAATCTACTGGTTGAGTTAGTGGTTTAAGGGGTAAAAATGTAAAATTACCAACTCAAATAATAACAATGTAATATCACATTAGATTTTTTTTTTTAAGAAAAAGGTGATTGAAAATGAGAAATATAGAAGCAAAGAAAGCTTCACAGTGGGACTACAGAAATTCGAACATGCACATTATACGAGTATCTGCTGCTAGACTACCAAAAACTCCCCACCAACTGAGCTGCCTGGTACGTTATTTTATTATAAACCATGTATATTGTGCACAATGCATGAGAAAGAGAGGAAGAGGGCATAAATTTTTTAAACTGCTAACTCATTTAGTAAATTTATCCTGCACCATATTTTTTTTTTAAAAAAAATTAAAAATTACAAGCACTCTAACTAAGCTAACAGTTTACATTGAACCAGAAAAAAATGCACCATCTGCTGCTGCACAACCATGTAAATCATGTAATTACTTTACACTGCAAATCCAAAGATTATATAATTACAGCAATAATTTGGAAATCATACTGAATCATCGAGCTTTAAATATTAAAGGCAATATCAATCAATCAAAGCCTTAGTCCCATAAGTGGGGATCAAAGGCAATAGCGACCAATTTTTAATAGCAGTGGAGGACTTAACAAGTATCTAATTACTAGACTCAGTGCTCCACATTCGTTCCTCTAACTATAACATTTCGTAAGCAACTCTATAATGTCAACAACAGAAGCATCAAGCAATTGACCACGAGCATCCAGAACTAGGATCAAAACAAAAATCTTATACCAAATTTTCCTTAACACACTCCAACAACAACACAATCAATACTCATGAATTTTGAAAAAAAAAAATGATACACAATCAATTAAGCAAAGCAACTTGAAATTTTCACACAAAACCTAATTGAAATAATTACACAAACAACAAAGCCTGAATATCGATCAAACGCTGAAAATTAATCAACTCAGATAAACAAATTATCAATCAATTACTCAAAATTCAAGAAATTAAATAAAAAGAAATTCAAAACAAAAGATCGGAGCAAGAATTAGACCTTCTTATTATCAACAGTAGAAGCATGAAGAGAAGGAGTAAACTGCTGCTGAGCTTGAAGACCTTCACGACGCTTCTTGAGCAAGCTTTCCTCTCTCTTATTCTTTCGGATCTCCACCATATTATCCTCTCTTCTCCGGCGACCTTCATCGGCGTCAACGGCGACTTTGTATCGATTCCGGCGAACTTCCGTCCTAGCATTTGGCCTCAACGACATCGTTTCGTTCGAAATTCAATCAACCTACAAAAGTTTAACAAAACATAAACCCTAAATTACTTTACCAATTCAAAAATTCACCACAAATGAAACAATAATTAATCAATGAATCAATCAAAATCAGTGGAAATTAATGGTGAAGATGATGAAATTGGAGAGAGATTGAGTAGCAATATTACCAGTTGAGAGGAGAGAGAAAATGAGAGTTAGAGAGAGAAAGCAGAGGGAGGCAGGGTTTTGGAGGTGAAGAGAGAGAGAGAGAGAGTGAGGGAAATGTTTATGATTTAAACCGTCATTTTCAGAAGGATGAATTTAAAGATAATTGGAGATTATGTTTCTTTTAGCCTTCGTCTAATCATTTTCTTGGTAAAAAATTAAATTAAATAAATGCCGTAATACTTGGATTTGAAATTCGTAGCCGCTCCCTCCTTCCTCATTTTTTGATTTTATTTTTTTTAAAAGGATTTGGATAGAGAATATGCTTTTTGGGGTGTGTTTTGGAATGGGAGAACCCTTTCTTTCTAGCCCAAATCCAAGGCCCAATCTACTTTTGCACTTTTTTTTGAGGGGAAATCTAGTTTTGCACTTTGTCATGCGCATTAGCAAATTTAAGGGCTTGTTCTAATTTGTTGAATTAAATTGAATTGAACTAAAGTATTAAAATGGACTGAACTGAATAGAGATGAAATGAATTGTTTATGATAGAAGGAAATAGGGAGCTGAGTTAAACTGAACTGAACTGATTGGAGCTGAAATTAAGTTGAAGAGAATAGACCCTAAGTCATCCGGAACTTTAACCAATAATACAAAGTATTTAAAAAAATTAAAAGAAAAAGTCAAAGTAATATATCTATTGTGAATTTAATGTTGTTTTTTAACTGATAAAAATATAAATTATATGTAGTCCGAATAAAAAGTTAAAAACACTACAGTTATATTATTATTATTACTCTGTATTATTATTGTAGTAATAAAGAATTAAAGATAAAAATCATTTATATCACCAAAAATCTTCAATTACCATCCATATACTACGGAGTACTTGTATATCATTTGATATAAATGAAAAATATATTCAAGATCGGATCATCAATAAAAATATGATGAATGATTTAGATATCAAGTATCACTTAAATTTAAAGAAACAAAAAACCAATAGAAATATGTACTTATAAACTATATGTGTTGGTGTGTAGGCATGTAGCCTCTTTTGAATGTGAAGTGGGCTTACTCTCTCTATGATTGAGGCCCAAGATTCAACCAAAAACTTTAGGATAACCTTTTTAAAGGTAACACTCATTCAAGTATTTAAGTTGATCTCTTCATATTGAATTATTGAGTGTACCATACATCTTATATACTACCTCCGTTACATATTGTCAAATCGTTGCAAATAATATATAACGGAGTTAGTACGTAGTATTTTAGGATTGATATTCATTCCTGGTCCATTCCTTAGCTGATGTTAAATTAGCTAACTCGGGGATATCTAATGGTAAAAAATGGTCATCTTGGGTTTAAAATTATTTGTTTAGAGCTATTTTCAACCACTATCTTTTTATGATCATATTTGTAACACAATAGTAATAATACGACTAATATCAAGATTCGTATTTTGGATTAAGCTAAGGCGTTTGGTTGCTAATTATAAGGGGGCCTCTTTTGAGTCTTTTCAATATGCTCCATAAGCCAAGGAATGGGACAATTTTATTTTTGTCCATGTACTTTTATATTGTTGTCTTTGTCGAATTGAAGATAATGTTCATGCAATGATTAGATCTTTAACACGCGACGTAATGTGAGATAGACCATAAACCTCAAGTATAATAACAACGTGTGAAAAATTCTTGTAATGTATATTTACACTCTTAAGATAAATGTACATTTGGTATATTATGTACTTCCTAAACAATTTTCCTCTTTAAGTATAACAATCTCAAACACTCTTCAATTATTGCATCTTTACACTAAACTACCTTGCTTGTTATTTAGGACCAATTGATGTTGTTGTTGTTGAGACAACGTAGGCGTATGATCTTGTCTGGCAACGTCGGTAGGTGCATCTCGAGCCACTCGACTATGTTGGGGTGATCGAGGCGGGGATGCATAAGTGGAAGAGGCTTCCAAGATCTCTCGCCGGATAGTCTCTTGTTGTTGGCCTAGCCATTGGACTCGTAACGCTGTAGCGTATAAACCAGCTGCTAAGAAGACTGATAAAAGGGAGAAAACTCCTGCAGCTGTGAACACACCTTCTCGGATTATAAGGCAGCTTGTTTTTGGTGTCGACCAATCTTTTAGATGCCCTGATTCTACACTTAATCCTATTAGTAACATTATTTCTCCAACTGCAAAACACAACCTGAATATGGAAATTAAAGCGTATCATTAATTTTTTCGTCCTAAAATCAATTTCTTATAAACATGTTTTTTGTCCTAAATATATTATTTGTATATACCGTGTTAATTATTATTTTAAAATTAAAAAGAACTAACAACGATAGAAAGCATGTACTTATGTAAAAGTCGATTCCAAAACGTGAAGGTGTACAATAACGAGTAAAAACACATAGGTAATTATCGGCTTTACTGCCGTAAAGGAGTAGCATGAGGACATTATCTCACATATGTGATGTGTTTTTATTCCTTTATGCTCGTACGAAGAACATATTCTTATGCGTTACGTAAAATCTGGAACTTTAGTGAGGCACCAAGTACCTTTTGGAGTTTTGATGAAATAAAGATAAGTTAATGGGTTTTAATTTTACTATTTAAGTACTATTTGAAATTGCTATGGTTGTTTCAATATTCTTTTCTAAGAGGAAATCCCATATATTATCATTCTTAACCACTGAAATAAATACATAATAATAGAATGTTGAATATATATATACAAATATAATTATAATATATATCATGTCATAATGAAATAATAATAATGCACCTAAAAATAATTATCATGAATGACGAAACATGATTCCACAAAAAGAAGCCACCTACTGCACTAAGCTACACTATTTATTTATGTTATATTTATTTTTTTGAGTCAAACAAATAAAAAATAAAATTATTATCTAATCTAATACGACATACCTAAAGTACTTGTGCAATGTCTTAAACCCTTTTTTTTTAATTATATGAAAGTTTTGGTAGTAGCGATTAATGAGATTTTAGTATAGTTTTGACCAAATTTGGCGAATGACTTATTGCCACTTTAATTCCCATTTAGTTATTTTTAAGCCTTCTTTTAGTTAGGTATGTTGATTAGTTTGGAATGAAGCTAATGAATTATGATGTTAGTTAACACACAATTCAATCTCATATTTTGAAGACGTACTAGTCAAATCTTGGCCAAATCAAGAAAGCCCAAAAATGATTCACCAGCGACCTCACTCTAAGCCTAGGTAAGGATTTGAACTCTCAACCTTTAACGTAACACTTACAAGAACACACGACAAATATATCTGATTAAATTATGTAATTTATGTTGTCATATCGATTGGGATATTAAGATATGGGAATAAGCAAGCTTACCAAGTAGAAATGAAGAAGAAACCAGCTTGCCAAGTAAGAGATCTCATAGGAATAGAAGATTGAGGGTCCCAGCTTACATAAACCGGAGGAGTAGTTTTGCTAATAGCAATTAGCAAAAATGAATGCTGAACAAGCATTGCAATAGCCAATGCTACAAATGCAACTGATGCGCATATCAAAGGCACTTTACCACTTCCACTATACATACACTCGTAATCCCCTTTTTCCTTATGCCCTTTCTTTGCACTATTATTATTGTTGTTTATTAACATCCATGTCACCTACAAAAAACGTTACATCATACGTTAAGATCATGATTTTACAAAATCGATAATTAAATAGAATAGAAACTAGTAGTCTTTTCGTACGACTTTTTGATTAATAAATAGAATTCGTGTTTTTTTAAAAAAAAATAAATAATAATATGTGTATGAGTTTGTTTTGAGTGCGATAGTCTACCTATCTAAAATTCATTGATTTTGCAAGTTTGAACATGAAAGTATATGAAATCAAATGGATGAGAATATTTTAATACGAAATCATCAAATCATTTCCAAAATTCATTAATTTTGCAAGTTTGAACATGAAAGTATATGAATTATTCTGTGAGCCTAAGTTACGAAAAAAATAAAGAACATGGCCTAATAGCAAATACTTGGAGAAATTACATGAAATAGTTTGGAAATGCACTAAAATAAAACAATTACATACTGACAATTAATTCCGAACAAAAGGAGTAAGATAAGCACATACCTCGGAACGAGTAGCTTCGGCGAAGAGGGAGAGAATGAAGCAAAGGAGACCACAAAGGATACAAAGAATGGTAAGAAGAGCACCAGTTTTGCTGGAGAGTTGTAAACCTTGTGGTTTAGGAGCCAAGTCTGCATGCGTTACACCTCTTGCTCTTGCTCTTGTTGTACCAGCCATCCTCATCATCATCATCATCATCATCATCTTTCACTTTAATTATGATATAATTCCAATAATATATAATGGTTCGTTTTATTTACATAAAACTGGGAATTTTAGAGGGAGTTATCAATTAAGGTAGGAAGGAAGATTGTATAGGGAATTGCTTCGAGAAAAGGTTGCTTTAGATGAAGGAGATTCTTTGAGCCAATTTAAGGCCTTCTATTTCTTTTATACTTGCAACCTTTTTTTGTAAGATTTCACACCTCAACTTATATATTTATACTCTATTTGTTTCTTCTCGAACATGTATGTGTTTTTTTTTTTTATTTTAAATGTGTGAAATGGTTACAAGTACTTTTTTCTGTTCCTTTTTGTTTGTCTCGTTATGCTTTTATGTGGCTTTTAATATATATATATACTTCGACAAGATTATGTGTTGCACATTAGTATATGACCATTATTATCTTCCGAGAAGTATTATAAATAAATTACACTAGTATTTTAAAATTACTAAGAAAAATAAATTACTAAAAATATTATCTTCTTATTATAATATTTGGTTTTGTATCATCAACTATTTTTTTTTCTTTTGTGTGGGTTGATTAGTTGTTCGTTTTTCTTGTTATTATTTTTTTTTCGTTTAAAAATTTTATGGTGAGAGATTTAAATGATGAATTGATGATGACACTGTTTTAGTACGCCGTTGCTTTATTTAGCACCATTAAATTTTTAGGTTTTCATTTATTTTTGGTCCCTGGACTACTCCCTCCAATTATATACTTGTATACATAAATTAAAATATTGTCAGAGAGTGCAAAAACAAAACAATACTATTTTCTTGAAATTTTTAAATTTCTAATTTCGTTGTATAATTGAAGGGACCGAGAATAAATTATTACTCCGTATAATATATTAAGTCTCATTCAATTCACCACTCTCTCTTGATAAATATCTTTCCAATTCCGTACAAGAAGATTAAGAGTGTATGAGAGATCAAGATCATTATGTCGATTAAAGAAGAATGTATCACTAGGTAAAAAAATACAAGGCATGTGTCTAAAGACAACATTGTGACAACTAAAGGAATTTGTTAGATTGCACATGCATTTTGAGTGAAATAAATCTCTTATTTACGCATTGTACATTTAGTATGGTTGTAGCATATACATATAAATGAATGAATTTTATTCTCCATCTAAAAAACACGCTAATTGTTAATTAGTGTACTTGTTGTAAAAAAAAAAAAAAATTTAGTGTACTTAACTTGTTAGACCAACTAGCTTTTTGGCCCTTAAATAACTTTTATTATTATTTATATATACGAGTAGTAAATATATATCAATAAGTAATACATGTATTAAATAATAATTATATGTTAATTAAACCTCATGAAAGGCACACCATCAAATTGATAATAGAGCTGACCAGACCCTAACTCCTTATTAAGAGCTTTTGTGCCAAGTACATCAAAGACAAAAGTGCTGCCACCATCAAGGCAATACAAAATATAATTCAATCATTAATCACCTAACTACTTTTGAGATTATGTTCTTCATTACCAATTATAACAATAATTTATTTATAATTCTATATGTATATTTCATTTAGAAAAGAAAAAAAAAACAATTAAAAGTCTATATGTATGAAGCTTCTACTCGTATTAGTTTTTTAGATTCGTGATCTTCAACCCAGCTTTTCTAAAATCAAAGCATAATAAATCTTAATATTGTCATAGTGGTTCATTCAATATTCCACTTCCACCAACACACTATTATTGGTATGCCGGAAAAAAGTTTTTTTTTACCAACTAGACTTTTTTGTATGAACCGGCCTTAAGTCTCTGTTCTTTTGAACTGTTGTGGTCTGCTTTGCTGAACCCTGCTTTGTTGAGTATAAATAATTTGCTCTGCTGACACCTCTTTGTTGTGCTCAAAAGAACGGGGCCTAATACACGCACACAAGTCATCATACCATCCTAACACACGGAATTATAAGAAGGGGATAAAAATAACTGTTGAGATTAATGAATATTGTCCATTGAGTTAGCAATTCTGTGTCTCTCAACTATCAGACAAGTAGCCTCTATTCAGTATAAAATCTTATGCTTTTCTTTTTCTCCTGTACCAAAAACATAAACTTAATTTTCAATTATATCATCTCACCTACCAAATATGGTGGTAATATTAATTATAAAAATAATGTTCCTTGTTAAAAGCATACTCCGTATTCAACATAATTTCCTTTGACTCAATCATATATAGACTTTTCTTATACTTTATTTGTTATGTATTAATATTACTAGTACAGTAGTACATAGTACTTTAGCTTAATCGCGATGGTTTATTATGCAAAGAATAAGTTTTAATGAACAACTTCAGAAAATACTGCCTCTAATCGGATTCTTTGTCGTAGGGTATGAGTTGGGAATCGACTATCAATGTATGTTGTTTGGTATTGATTGAGGTCTCGTTTGCTCTGTTGCTAAGTATGACAGTTGATATAGCTCGTCAGGGGTATCATGCATATATCGTGTTAAATGATTATACTCGGGTCCCTGATGAGCCTTGAACTAGTGTCTCCGTCTAGAGTTTGTAGGATCATGGATTCTCTTGTATTGGCTCTCAGTATCTCCTCTCATTCGGAGATGTACTTCCTCATCTGTGGCTCTGTCACACATCAGCTGTCGACCTGTCGTACTTAGCAACAGAATAAATGAGACCTCTATCAGTAACAAGCAACATTCTCAGTTGACTTACAAAGCTGCTGCCAGAAAACTGCACTCCAGATGGATATGGAATATACTCCACACGCGTATAGCTTTCGCAGCAAAAATTAGGTTAAATAAGGCACATGAATAACTGATCTATTGACTGCTTAGGGAAAATCAGGATAAGCCACATTTCCGGGCCATAAAATGTGCTAACCCGGTAAATCAAGCAAAAGAAGCCTAAAAAGAACTATGGGAATTCAGTAAGCTCTATAATTGACCACAAATGGTGATAGTATCTATATACATTTGTTTGATTAAATAGGCAGAATTCAACTTACCCCTAGGATCCTAATTTACAAGAAGCCGCAGAATGCATCTCCATCAGCATGCACGCTATTACCTTCAATAATTGCACTATCACATGCAGCATGAGCATATTGTTCACAAGGAATAGCACGCCTTCTTTTTCCAGACATATTATTATCAAGCCCAGGATTTGGATTTGTTTCTTTCAACTTGACCAAGAAAGATTCGTGAGGATTTCCAAGGGCAAAACTCTGAGCAATACTATCAGAAGCTTCGACTCCTGGTATAATCAGTGAACCTGTTGAGCTATTGATACCCATTTCATTTGCTTCATTATGATTGTTCAGCTTAGGGAGTTGTTTGATGTGAGCCAGTACCATTGACATATGCTCACATGCAAAAGTCAGGCGTTCTTCAGTTACCACTGATTCTGAAACAATTGTGGAAGCTATGGCTTCCAGAAATTTGACCTTCTCTGTTTGCTCTTTTTCAACGTGCTCATTCGATACAAGGCGCCACCTCAAAGGCAGATAAGGGTCTGGGATGCGAAAACAGTTATTTGTTGAGAGAACACGAAGAATATGACGACAAAGGATGCCTAAAAACTCAAACTGATGACAACTACAATGAATGAGTTCTTGACTAGGGTCCCACATCACTTTGCATCCTCCGTCCATCTCTGTGTGGTGTCTGATCTGGAAGCAACCTTCGCCAACCATAATGGAGGCATATTGAGGGGCTGAAACGAGCTCTTCTTGGAGGAGAGAAAAGGCAAAAGGCGTAAAAACAGTAGCAGCATGCGACTCCATTGGGGAACCTGTTTTTAAAGAAACTTTCTCATTTTGCTGCATTTTCAGCTTTGATCCACCATGGTCATCATACTCTGCAATATCGGCTACCTACAGTTACAAACATATTAAGAATGAGGGTCAATATAGCAAGTAAACCACCTTTCTCTTAGACAAAAATTATTACTTGGTGGTCTCACCAATATGACTGATAAACCATGACAGCAGAAACTGCACTGCTTAATTATGTCCCAAACCGGGATGGACCTTACCCGAAAATTTATGTGATACAGTCTAATAATGATTAATTTAATGTAGTAAAAAATTAACAATAAACCCCAGTATGACCCAACCTTAGACCCGACCTGTAACCAAATGAAGTAACTCATTACTAGAATATGATCTAATCCAAACTGACTCGTTTGCTATCTCTAATCGCTATAAGCAAGATATGAAAATTCAGTAGGTATAAAGGTAATATAGCTTTACAACTTGCTGATATGAACTGGTAGAGAAACTATTTTGCAAGAAACTCTAGTTTCTAAGGAAATAAATTACGAAAGGAAACAACATTGTTTAGATAAGAGTATGCAGACACAAATTTGAGAAACCACTTGAAAAACTTTTTTGCATGAACCACAGCAGATGTACACAAAGTAGTGCTCTGTAGAATAATAAAAGAGAACTTACTTTATCAATAAAACAATCAAGTGTAGATTGTACACTTAATATCCTTTGAATGAGAGCATTAATGGAGTCTGTCACAGATCTACTCATGAGTCCAGCAAAGAAGTAGCGTCTCAAGAAAGATAGAGCCCAAAAGTCCCGTAATGCATAAAGGCAGATGATGTGTTTATTTGACTGTAGTTCATATCTATCAACCATCTCCTTCCATTCAGCTTCAAACTCATCAACCATTTCCAAGCTATAAAGACGATAAAATTCGGTCTTCCAACCATCATAATGAGACCCAAGTGGCAAAGAAAACCAGTCTGACAAGTTGGCAATGATATGCCATATAGAGAATGCATGTTTGGTTTCAGGCATTTCACAAGTGATCGCTTCTTTGAGCCACATATTTTGATCAGTCAAAATGGTTTGTGGTGCTTTTCCTTTCATAAAACATAAAAATGTCTGCACATATTATTTCAAAGAAATGAGAAATATAATTACAATGAAGAAATAAGCAACAGAATGAAGCAGGATTCTTCTTGAGCAGCAGATGGTTATAGAATAATAGATACATACTTAAGATGTTATAGGTACCTTCAATGCCCAAGTAAAGGACTCCAGGTTTTCATCCCGCAAAAGAACACAACTGTAAAGACAAGCCTTTCCATGATTATCAACCCCAATCAAAAGGCCTAGAAGCATATCATAAGCATCCAGACGATGATTAGTGTCCAGCAATATTGCATCCCCAAAGGCTTCATACTTTTGGATGGATGAAGGGTATGACCAAGCAATATGCTCTAATCTATTATGACCATCTAATTTAAAATCATACTTGAAATAAGAATTTTCATCTTTTAATCTCTTACACATGCTGATGAGGTCAATAGCATCGTTATCTTTATCAACATGTCTGAAAGACTGTAGCAGGTCTCTGATATGTAATTCAGTGAATGGTAAGCAACCTAATTTAACGCCTTTCTCAAGCTCCATCAATCTCAACATCTGGCGGGCTGACATTCCAGCTTTTGCAAACATGCAAATCCGACTTTTGTCATCAGCAGAAATGGTGCAGTGCGATGGAGGGATTTGTGCTTCAACTGATTTAAGAAGTTCGTGATTGTGATTGTTACTAAATCCAGTGACACGCCATTCAGGGACATCCAAATCTGACCGTTTCACTATTCTCATGTATGCTTGACAGCCGCACCGTGATGATTTTCTATTCCTTTGCAACTTCCCTTCCTCACTAGGTTTCGCCTGTGGATGTCCACCACGATGGCAGGTAAAGTCCCTTCGTGTGACTCCCCGTCCCACCCCATCTTTTCCCCGAGTGCGGTGGCGCCTGATGGAAAAGCCACATTGCTTGGCAAAGCTGCAATAAAATTCATAGGCAGCATCTTGAGAAACAAATCTCTGGCCGATAAATGGAACTAGGTTGACTGATGTTTGTCGTGACAATATAGCATCCTCTGATATTCCCTCTGCAGACTCAATGTTGTCCTGTGACAGATCTGTTTCATTCTCAGAGGATTCCATATTCTGACTTCCATTAACTGTCATTTTTTGCAGCAATCATTCAGACAACTGAAAGCAGGTAGCAAGCACATTAGTTCTAATGAAGGTTTAGTGTTTAAATTTAAAACATAGAGAATATACAGTAATAATTTTCATTTTACTTAAGGTAAGAAAGAATAAAATAAAATTTATACAAGAATAGGCAGCCCCATTTCCAACGGAGCACACCACCACGGATGTTGCTGCACTCAAAATAAAAGGATATAGACTGAAGGGAAATTCTTTCATCTTTATTTAAAAAGATTCAAACGGTCTCAGCTTTTATAATAGGGATAAGGTTACAAAAATCTTAACCTTCAGACCCCTCTTCCTCTTTACTAGGAATGACACTGTGGCTTCTTGTTGTGTAGAGAACTAGAGATAGGGGTTCGAAAGTTCAATTGTGCTCAAGCTACTCTAGGCTTCAAGTTTTGGCAACTACATTGAATTACAGAACATGATGTAGCCCCACCCCCCCCCCCTCCCCCAAACTGATAAGCGCAAAAGAGGATAGTTCCTCACTCGTTTTCTCCACACATACACACACATATAGCATCAAGAATAATACACATAAGAAGATCCTGTTAACCAGCTTTTTCTTGATCCTGTCACACAGCCTTTACTAAATCCTGTTAAACACCTCAAATTGAAAACCTAGATTTTTCTTTGTTCATATTCTGGCAATGCATCAATTGGAAGCTAAAAATATAAAAGATGGGAATGCTTCAGTAGGCATTTAACACTTTGAATGCTTAACCTCCTAGGTTATAGAAAACACAACGAACGATGAGAAGTGAGCCTGCCTGTCACTTGTACTATATTACTTCCTTTACTTCTTCAGCGAATAAAAACAAGCTAACTACTAAGCTTAAGCAGCTAGGTGAGGTGAGAAACAGGGATGGAGTCTAATATGCATCATCCTCCACGGATTGTAGACACAAATAAAATACAAAGTACAATGTCGAATAACCATTCAAGTAGTCAAGACTAAAACCAGTCACCTAAAAGATTTATCAAATCCTAAAGCAAATGTGTATTAATTAACCCAAGTACTTTGTCATGGGCTTCAACTACACCATCAAACAATGAACTTAATTATCTACGTGGATGTCAACAAACTTAGCCGGTAAAGTCTTGGGAATGCATCCCTAGGATTAAATCCCGTCCTCTTAATAATCCTTTGTGGCTCTATTTACACCCAAAAAAAAGGGATAAAAGAGTGTCTATACATTCTTACCCCATTAGTAAAATGGTGATTTCCATATAAATCTCAAAAATAGTTCAAACATCAAATTCAAAGTACAGGCCATTGTTTCAATTAATTCGACGACGGGCAACAGGCTACCCCTCAGCTCAGTACAACCTTTCATTACTATAAATCCTAAAGATTTCAAAGTATATGCTAGTTATGAATACCCCACTAAGCCTCATGCAAGAAGCATCAATTAAGCTCAATTACAAGGCACTCCAATTGTTAATTTCTTGGTGAAATAACACCCAAAAAATTCACCAAATAAACCATTTATGAGATCATTTTGCTATGAGCACAAATCTAACAATAACTGAAAATTTCTCTTGAAAATGCCAAAACATCATTTGGGTTTTGGGTGTATAACCAACTTTTACCCCAAAAAACCCAATATTCAATTCATAATCTCAGATCTAAATAACACCCAGAAATAATTAAGTAAAATACATATAAAAAAAACAATCTTTTTAATCAATATCAAATCAGAGAAGTTCAAACAAATTAAAAACCACTAAAATATCAAGAAAATATAGTAAAATAAATTAAACCCAGAACATAGTTATATATAAGCAAAAGGGTGATTAAAGAACATACCTTTACAATTGATTTGAAGCTGCAAAACAGAAAATTGTGAAACTAACGGTCAAAAATTTGGAGGAGGGAAGAGTGGAAAAATGGCGGGGAAGAAATTTATGAGTTAGAGCGCATGAAGGGGGAAGAGGATAAGCTTTATCTATGGGAAGGAGCTATCTTGCGCTGTACTGGTTCTTCGACTTATTCAGCGCACATTGTCTATGTGCCCTCTCAAGAAGGGGTGAGAATGTAATTACTCAGTTTGTAAATCATTTTTAAGACAAAAAAAAAAAACACACTTTGTATGTAAAATACTTGTTAGAATCGTCTCAAGTATAATGTAAAGGGTAACAATCATATCTATCACTATGTTTTATTAGAAATGTAATCACGGAGTTCATAGCTCTATCCGTCTAGATTTGGCGGATGGTGGCCAATGGGATGGGGTTGAGATGGAAATCATATATGTCATGGGTAGTAGGACTGCGGAAATAATCTGTGGGAATAAGGTGAATCATAAGTAATACCTCTCCAAATTCGCCTAGTCCCAACCTACTTAAAACAATATTGAGCAATTGCCTTGTACTTACTTTAAATAACGAAAATTAATTATTCCAATAATTGGAATTTCATCTTTATATTGAATTATAATGAGCTTGTCTAACATTCACGAATAAATTTGGTTTTGAGACTTGTTGATTAATTGAGTTTTATCTATAACAACGGTAACGAAATTTTAATGGATGCATATATACAAGTATTATAAGGCAAGTTTGAGATGGGGATTTAGGTTGAGATTGCAATTAGGCAAGTGGGTGGTGGTGCAGTGATGAGTAGTGATGGGGATGAATTTTGGATCATGGGGGATGAAAATATTAAGTGGGGATGAGACGGGAAGACCAAAATCCTCGTTCTCTCCTATTAACATACTTATTGTGTTTAGTTTTGTGCTTATAAAACATAAATATGCATAATGAGAGATTCAACATAACTATTGTGTTGAGTTTTGTTAACGCTAGTACAATTTAATGCCACTACAAAAGTAGAAAGCAACCGTTACAAAAACAAAACAATGGATTGTAATTTGTAATGTGTTTGTAAACCTCTAGGTTATTTGAGTTGTTATCGGACTTTATTTGAAGCAATTTCTTTAATCTCCTAATTTTGGAATTCATAATATTGATTGATTTACATTTATCTATATCATGGATAGTCTAAATTTAGCTATGTCTATTTTTTTCCCTTAAGTATATAAACATACCTTGTAACTTTAATTATTCTTTTATCTTTTCAATTTGTCGTCTTGTTTTCCTAGATATCTCCCATCCCAACTTTTTTGCCGTTGTTTCTCAAGAGTTGGGGTGGTGGGATTATACGTTACATTCAATTCAATAATAAAATAATAAAAAAAAAGATGAAAGGGCCAAAAAGATCACAAAATGAATACATTGTTCATGATGATTTAGAGCAATATAAGCTACAAATCATAGATCATTACATGTTGGAAATACAAAATTTTGATGATGCTGCTCGTTGTTGTACATACAATGAAAGTCCAACATTTAGTAATTATAATCCACCCATAAAATTACAACCTTCTCATAGGTACGTAATTACTCCTTATTTCAAATCATCCTTTACGACGTCGTCTTCGCCGTCTTCACATCATCGTAGGTCTCATAATTGGAGCTTTGATGAAAATGATTTGAAGAGGAAAACAAGGATTACTACGTCTAGAACATATACAATGGAAACTAAGTTTAAAGCTTCTGTTAAAAATGGTTTTCGTTGGGTTAAAAGAAGGTGCCATAGAATAGTTTCATGATTAATAGAGATGGTTTAATTTATGCATGGATTTCTACATCAAATCCGAAGGTCAATTTGATCAAGAAGTGATTTTGTGGCTTAAAATGTGCTCGTAATTTTAATAATTGGCATGCATGCAATTTGAAGATGTATTCTTTTTAGATTATTTTTCTTTTTTGCTTTTTTAATTATTAAAATTGTATAGGAGATTGCAAATAAATTATGATGTGGGTGTTAAGGTATTAGAACTTGTAATTCATTTATATTGTTATATATTTAGAATCGACTATTTATTTACATGTACTTGTATTGTTTAAGGATTACTATGTAAGAGTATATAACTTTGTAAAATGACAAAGTTTGAATCAAACATGAAATCGACATTATATTATTATTTTTTTGAGGGGGGGGGGGGTGGGGGGGGGGGGGGTGGGGGGGGGGGAGGAATATAAGTGTAAAATATAGGGTAAATGACATTTGACTCTAAGTCCTTAATACAATCAACAATTCAACATCTATACAACAACAAGATTTTGTCAATTACACACAAAAAAAAAACTTTAAAATGCGTGTAAAATTATATGCAATACATGCAACATAAAATGTTGAATATATATCCTCTTGCAGTCATGCTTACACTATAGAAATTAAGGTAGAAAGAACAGTTACTTCAATTTCTTACCTCAAACAATTCATGTCATTTTGCCCATCATCCCTAATCCAAGCTCACCAAGCCCATTGAATCAACTACTTAGATTAGATTGAGTCTAGCCCAATGTGTGGATCATGTAGATTAAGCCCAACCCCTTTCCCCTTTAATGAAATGACAAAGAGATGATGAAAGAAATATAATCACTCTATAAACTATAAAGAGTACTCAAATAGTGTAATCACGGTGAAAGGGTGTATTCATTAAGTCTTGGGATTTATTCATAGATTGTTGGGATTTATTGCAAATCAAATTAGTTCTCCATAGAGTGTATTCTTTATGATACAAGCTACTAATGTGATGACTAATGAGTTTTAAACTAACAAATTTCTATCACGAACTACATATTAAAAAATTACAAGTATCATATTGACACACCAAAATTCGCAAACACTATTGACAAAAGCTTTGGTTTTTGATGTTCATATAACTCAAGAAAATGTTCATCATATTATTTAATTTGGTTGAATATAAAAGAAAGAATGTTTTCATTGCATTGCTATTTTTAAACAATTTTCTTTTCATTTTATTGTAACTTGTAAGATGTTATTTAAATTCAAATTAACATATTAATTTTATACACAAACATTCATAACTAGACCCCCCCATGTTAACGTAACAAAAAAATTCAAATCCAATAAAAATATAAATCCTTCAAAAAATAAATTATGGGAAAATAAACTTCTCTGTTCTCTCACTAGATTTGGTCCATTATGTTCGAACCTAGGACGCACCAAGGCAAAAAAATGGGCCCATTTTACCTTAACAAATCCAAATCCCAAATATTTTAACCCCTTTTTGTTTCACTCATTTTCCAAAATTGTTTTGACTTTTCTTTAATCCACGTGTCATCATATCACTTGTCTGTCACTCCCCATTAAAATCCTACCCCTTGTAATTTTATCACCCTTGTATAATAAAAAGTATACTTTTTGTCCCTCTTTCTGTTTTTTTTATTTGTAATTTGAAATCTCAATCTAAGCAAAGAGACGTTACAAGATTTTTGGAATTATTTTTTTTGTGTTTTTCAATTTCTATTTTTTAAAAAAATTCCAACTTTTTTTTTCCTTCCCCAATTTAATCAATGCTTTGCCCCCCATTTAATGCTTGAAACATGCTTCACTCTCTCACTAAAAATCACAACTTTCTCTCTCTAAAATTTCTGGTATTTCCAACAACTGCGCACCCCTTAATTTATTGCTTTACAAACTATTCATTCTCCTCTGTTTCACAAAACCCCAGAAAAATATAGACGTTGTCAAACATTTATATAGGAGAGAGAAACAAAGAAGCTTATTTTAGAGACGTTGGAGAAATTCTTCTAAGAAATTCCTCATTTGTAAGTTTTAATCATTTCTGTACTTTGTTTGATTGTAGTTTTAAATTGGGTTTGAATTAATTGTTTCTTAAATAACTGATTTTGGTCATGGAATGTTTGGTTTTGCAATCAAGTTTCTGTCTTTTGTACTGCTTTGGTACTGTGATTAATGAATCTTGGTGATAAATTGATAATGTGAGATGGGTTTTGCTTGATTATGTGATTAGTTAGCTTAATTAAAGATTTTTTATAATTAGGTGGTGGAATGAGGCTAATGATGATGTTGTTAATTGATTTGAATTTTGATTAGCTGATTGATATGATTGTGATTACTTTTTGAAGGTAAATTTGCATGATTAATGGTTAAATTACCGTTTTAACACTGTTAGATACTGTTGAAATTGTTCAATTATAAATTGGAATATGATTTCACTTCCAATTTGTAATTGTGAATGTACATATGGAGTAGATAATTTAGCAGAAAATGGCTGTAATGTTCAAATGTGCATGCCCAAGTTAATCATCTTTGTTTGTTGCTATCAAATTTGAGCATATATTAGTATAGTATAAAGTTCTATGATGGGTAAATTAATTGGAATATAGATTCTTATAATGTGCTTTACTAGGGATGGTTGAGTAATTCTGAAGTTATTTGTGACTGCTGTTAGTCATATATTGGGAGCTTGGAGCTATAGTAGAGTAGAAGATACTGCTCCAAGTGAAATCGTTTCGAGCTCGATGCTATCTTAGTAGAAGATACTAGGGTGTTTAAATTAATGTACTTATGGATTATACTACCTATATGACTATATCTTAGCAATACATGTGCACTGAGTTCATAATCTGAACTGAGGGAGCGGTTAGAGTAGAAAATACAGTTTTGAGTGAAATTGTTTTGAGCTGTTAGAGTAGATGATATCTTAGTCTATAACTAGGGTTTTATTATGGATGATACTACCTATGTTTTAGTGCAATTTGTCTCATTAATTGAACTGTGTTGAGCAGTTTGGAATATCCATCATTCTGCATATGATTAGGTTGAAGATTCATCCACCTATCACTGATTGTTAAAGTTTTTGTAACTGAGCTTGGATCTTTAATGTCAAGAAGTGTTTTGGATTGGTAAATAGCTAAAATGGGTGGTGACAAGCATGGGTCGAAGAGTGGACGTTATGTTGGCGGCTTCTTTCAGCTGTTTGACTGGAATGCCAAGTCTCGAAAGAAGTTGTTTTCGAGCAGATCTGATTCACCAGGTACATTACAGCTACATTCATATATGTGTTTGTGTTGTGATTCTTTAATGTGAACTGCAGATCATTCATTTTCTTTTGGTTGTTTTGGACAGAATACTCGAAGCAAGGAAAGAAAGGAGAGGAGAGTTTTCCTATGACAAGAAAGCGTGTGGTGAGAATTTATTCAATGACTGATATCTGCTGAAATTAATTGCCATAATATTGATTTAAGATGATTTGATTAATTATATACCAGGAA